CTGGCCCAGAGTGAGTGCTCAGAAGCTGTCCGTGATTTGTGATTTGCAGAGATTCAGACGAGCTGGTCTCTCACCATCCCAGGCACACGCGGGAGTCGCTGGGGTGACGAGTGACTTCATAGATGATTTTGAGACTACAGCTAACAATTCCTGGCACGTAAGACTCACAACTCAAATTGCTCAAATCCTCTGGTGGGGTGGGGGGTGGGAGGCTTCTTAGCAGGAGCAGCCCTGGGCTCAGCTGGGGGCCCTGGTATCTCATTGTGCGCCTACTGCATGCCAGGTGCTTTATTGCCAATGTAACCTGAGCTGTGCAGTGTAGCTCAGGTACCGCAGGAAGCAGAATTCTAAGAGGAATCCCAGGATTTCTGCCATCTGTGTAATCTCCCGTCCTGAGTGACTAGGGAGGGTGTCACGCCCAAAGGTGAAGGCCCCTAATCGATGGACTTTGAGCTAATCAAAGGGGTTATCCTGGGGGCTCTGACCCAATCAGGTGGACCCTTGGGAGAAGTGAGGGACATTTCCCTGCCGGCCTCGAAGCACGAGGGCTGCCAGGAAAGGGCTGGGGAGTGGCCGCCAGGAGCTGAAGGTGGCCTTGGCTGACAGCCAGCAAGCAAATGGGGACCCCAGTCCTACCACTGCAAGAATCTGAGTGTGGCCAAGCCCCGAGTGAGCCTGGACGGGGACCCTGAGCTCCAGGTGAGAACGCTGCGCCGACACCTTGCTTCCGCCCTTGTGAGATCCTGGGTGCAGAACCCAGCGAGACCGGCCCGTCTCCTGGCCCCTGGAGATGGCGAGAGGCAAGTGGGTGAGGAGTGGCGGTGCTAAGTCTGTGGTAGTTGTTATGTGCATAGAAAGTTGTTATGTGCATAGTACAGATAGTTAATTGCCAATAGCCGACATCCTTAAAATCCCGATGGTACTCGGACCCTGGCTTCTGATTTGGGGCTGTGCATGTTGCCACCTAGAATGCGTCTGTAGTTCCCAGTTTCCCTTGCAGCTCAGTGTGACTGTCATTTTGCTAAGTGAGAGGTGAGTGGACCTTTCGTGCCTGGTCTTTGGAAGCGTTCCTTAAAGGAAGCACACGGCCTAGAACATAGACATGACAGCTGGTGCTCCAGCAGCCATCTCGGACCTTGGGGCGGCTTGTGAGGACGGGTGCCGTGGATGAGGACAGCAGAGCAGGAGGACAGGAGCTCAGACCCCCCACGGCACTGTGGGACTGCCGCGCTGACCGTGGACGGCCAGCCTCAGACTCCGTTCAGACTCCGTTCAAATGAGAGAGAATTTTTATCTTCTTTAAGCCATGACCATTTGGGGTTTTTCTGTTACGTTGCAGCTGATCTGAAATATCCCAAATAAGGGTGGGCACCACACCCATCTCTCAGAGGAGGAAACTGAGGCGCAGAGAGGGGAGTAAGTGGCTCGAGGTAGGCGACCAACAGCTAACCAAGCGAGGGCGGGCTCTGTGCTGAGCCCATCTCGGGCCCTGCCCCCGCCTCTGGCCCTACAGCACGAGGGGCCTCCTCCACCCCAGACAGATGTCTGCAAGACGGCGGCAGGGGTCCTCCCCAGGGGAAGCGGGCGCTTGTCTCGGCCGCCGCCACACGGGAACCTAACTGGGTGCCGCTTCCCGCTCCAAACTCGGGGCGGGGAGGGCCCGCACGCCCACCCCAGTGCAGAAGGGGCGCGGCCTGGGAATGCTCCTTCCTCCTGAAACCCTCCTCGTGCCTCCAAGCCCCCCCCACCCGCCCGCCATGTCTTCTCCTGGTCTCCCGTGCCCCACGGCCCCCGCTGCACTTTAGACGAGCTCGAAGTCCCTGTGTGGCCCTCAGAGCCATGCACAACCGGCCTCCCCTTCCCTCGCTGCCTTCCTCCCCGCCCGCCGCAGCCGCTCCTGCCCACGGCTCCTGCAGCCACCGAGCAGGCCGCCTCAGGGCCTTTGCACGTGCCCGTCCCTTGGGAGGAGATGCTCTGCCCTTCTCGCCGGCCCGCTGCACCCTTCGCCCAGGTCTCAGCGGAAAGGCCTCCTCGGGGCCCTCCCCGGCCACCCCGCCCCTGCGCGCTGTGGCTTCCTGACGCGAGTCACCGCTTGGCGACCGGCGGCTCTCGGTCAGGCCCGGCTTCTCCGTTACACGCGGCACAAGCCGTGCCTGGGGTGGGGGTGGGGGCCACGGCACGTTTAAGGGCCCACAAAAATATCTTAATTTCTTTTAAATTAAATCAGAAGGAAAGACATGAATCTCATTCAGCCTGGCTTGTGTTCACTCTTACACCCGAAGTCATAAAACGGAAATTTTATTATTACTTTTATGGTGGCGGCAGCCAGGGCAGGCACGGGGCGTGCTGGTCCCCGAGCAGTTGCTGGGCTTGCCGGAATGGACGCTTCCCTGTGCCCACCGCGGGCCCGGCGGACGTAGGCACGGGGTGAGTGGGTGAACGCGTGAAGGGACACTCTGGCCAAAGAGGAAGCGTGTGCCGTCCTCAGAGCAGCCCTCCCTCCTAGAAAGGACATCGTGGCTTGGCACCCTCGGGCCGCTGCGGTCGTCCCTATTTATGGCTGTCCTGGTCCTTCAGGCTGGGCCGTGGCCTGGAGCTCCTGCCCTGCTGCCAGCCCAGCCCACGGAGCGCGGGCGGGCGGAGTTGGGGTGGGGGCTGAGCCCCCGCAACACCTGCTGCAGCCGAGGCGCCCAGGGCTCACGCTGCCGGGCAAGGACGCTGCGGTGGCACCAGCCGGGGACAGTGCGAGGGCCAGCTGCGGCTGGACGAGGAAGCTCTGAGGGCCCAGAACCCCTGGTGGGAAAGGGACACAGGGCCTCAGGACCATGACACGTGACCTCGCCATCGGGGGTGGAATGGTGGCCCCCAAAGAGCTGTCCTCGTCCTAATCCCTGGAGCTGTGAATGGGGCCTTCCTTGGAAAAAGGGTCTTCGCAGACGTGACCAAGGATAAGGGGTCATCTCGGGTTATCTGGACCCCGTGACAAGGAGACCTAGACGAGGCCGAGTGCTGACAGAGGCGGAGACCGGGTGACACAGCCACAAGCCCAGGAAAGCCCGGAGCCACGGGAGTCTGGAGAGGCCAGGAGGGACCGTCCCCTGGAGCCTGCGGAGGGAGCACAGCCCTGCCCACACCTTGACTTCGGACCTCTCTCCTCGGGACGCGGAGGAGAATTTCTGTCGTGGTAACTCAGCCGTGCGGAGATCTGCCTCGGCAGCTCCGGGAAGCTGGCGCACCGCCTCCTCCGCGGGATCTGAGCAGAGGGCAGGATCACACATGGTGGGGAGTCTCCGCTGCGGACGCCCCAGCGGCCACGGCCACCCTCTGGGCCAGCCCCGCACGCTGCTGTCACCGGCGGCGGAGGCGAAGGCAGAGGAGGGGCTGCGAGTGTGCATGGTGCACAGTGCGGTGGGTTAGGCCGTCAGCCCGGCCACGGGGACGCTAACAGTTGACCGCCAGGCTCCCCGTGAGGCCGCAGGCTCTGGACCACGCCCAAGCACTGGGGAGGGGGAAGGACACCGGGAGGGTCAGAGCTGGGGCCGGGAGCCCGTTTCACCTGCAGCCCCAGGAGACTCCAGCCCAGGTGAGCCCAGGTGAGCCCAGGCTGGAGGTTCACATTCCCGTTCGGGTAACTAGTAGCTGGGGGACTTCGAGGAAGTTCCTTCACCCGTCTGTGCCGAACAGCAGGCAGGAGCGAGAAGACAGGCAAGAAAGTGCCCCAAAGGAAAAAAGAGCAAAAGAGGCAGAAACCGGGCGTGGGGGCAGATGAAGGCAAAGGTGAGGCCGTCCGTGGTGCTGCGACCACAAACGCGTGCCTTACGGGGCCTGCCGGGGCGGGGGATGGGGGAGAAGGCCAGAGGTGAACAAAAATGTCCTTCCTAAAGCGCCTGGTTCTCCCAGTCTAGCTTTTACCTTGCTCCTCTTAAGAGGAGCACGGGTGCAAATAAATAGGTATCCACGATTTTAAAAACAGGACGCGACATTTGCCCCTTTGTACGAGACAATAGGGAGCAGCGGAGACTGCGGCATAGGCTACAGCCCGCAGGGACGGGGCCAGGTGGCCAGGCCCGCCAGTTTCTCAAGGGAAGCCAGATTTGGGATGGCTTTTGTTCACCCCAACCTTTTGATTTTTGAAAACATGTTGGCAATGAATTTGCATTTAAAAAAAAACTAATATAAACACCAAGCGGGGGAATAAGACATGTCTGCAGGCCACATCTGGACCTCCGGCTCTGGTCTTCAGCCTGGAAAACAGAACAAAAGCTGAGCTGTGCGTCAGGACAATGACAGGAGGGTTTGGAAATCACGGGGGCTGGAACTTGTTAGGAGCGGCCCTGCATCTGAGGCCACAGGCGAAGAGGGAGCAGGCCGGCCGGCGCGCACGGGGCTGGGCTCTTACCGGCGACCGCGCACTTCAGGGAGGGAAGGAGCCCAAGGCGCTTGCTCCAGCCCGCAAGGCTGAGCGCGGCCCCCAGCGCAGCGTGGCACCGGTCACCGTCCCTTCGCCGGGCCTGCTGCGGCCATCCACATCCATGTCACGAGCTGGGCTCCGCGCAGTCCCCAGCTGCCCACGCTGTTTGCGCTGGACAAGGCTGGCTCCGGCGGCTGGCGCTGCTTTCAAGTTTGGGTGTGCACCGCCCGCCCTCTTCCCTCTTGTGCCTCTGTTTTATTGGGATGACTAAATCTTTCAACTATGTTCGCAGTAAACACAGCTAATTTACCCCCTGCCTCCTTGAAGCAGCTGCTGACAGCTGCCCTGTAATTCAATCAAGGGTCTTTGTAGTGGAGCCTACCAAGTTCACGTGGTCGTTCGAGTCCCTCTCTCCTGCCTGGAGCCCCAAACAGCTGCAGCAAACATGGACGCGCCCGCTTCTCTCCGAGCCCCGGAGGATAAACAGCGTGTGGATGGTGGAGGGGCAGGCGGGGGCTTCTCAGCAGGCTGAGGGAACCTCAGTGTCCAGGCGTGGAGGGACAAAAGCAGCACACACAGGCCCAAGAACCAGAACCAAATGTCTCCTTTTATTGCAAAGTCAAACCCTTTTTATTTTGTCTATTTATACAGAATTTTCACTAAGGACTGCTCTATGCAAGAGCCGGGGTACATTGGTCCAACGGATAATAAATAGTCTTAAATAAGAAAACAAACAGGTCGAAGGACAGCAAGCTCATTGTTCCGGACAAGGGATGAAAGGAGGGTTTAAAAAAGGCTTCAGATGGAAATAAATAATTTCTTTGTTCCGTAACAACTATTTACATGTTTAAATGTACAAACGATGCGAACCAGAGGCTGGTTGGGTTGTACAGCGGTAAGGAAACTTGCACCAAGAGGGAGTCCCACAAAAAAACCCCAAATCTGCCACCAAACGAAACAAAATATAACAAAAACTACGCTTCCCCCAGTGACTAGGCAGAGTATAGGCTGCAGCCCTAGCTACCAAAGAAGAAACAGTAAAAGAAAATAAAAACAGAGCCCCGACGTTTCCAGGAGCCGACTTAGCCAAGACGGAGAGACATTTCCCCACCGGACTGGACCCCACGTGGACACGGGCCTGCACGGATGACCTCGTTCCTTTTGCAGGTGCAGGAAACATTCGCACACAGCCCAGCCCGCCGGAGCTGGGTTTGCAGCTGCAGGCTGGGTGCACACCACGTACGGGACCCACTGGCCAACGCAACGGGGGCTCGTCCCAACATCCAAGTCAGAAACGCCAGCTCCAAGTCAGGATGCTTGGTTAGGATGTCACCCTGGACACAGCTTGGAGATCCACCTCTCTGCCGTTCGAGCCCAGCACAGCCTGCACCCATCAGACCCCCCACTCTGCTGTCTCTCCCTTCCTTCAAGGAGCCAGTCTGTCCGCAGAGCCAGTGAGAGGGGTCTACGCCCCCGCCAGAACCCGGCTTCAGAAGGACGGGGCTCCGCTCAGAGGACGCACGGAGGCCCTGCCCCCCTTCTCGCTGAGAACCGGCCTTCCGGGGCCCCTCGGCACCGGGGTCCCGCTGCAAGTTCCATCCGCTTGCCGTCCTGGTCCCCTGCGCGGGGGCCGGAGAGCCAGCCTCCAGCGTCTGCGGTGCTTCCCGCGCCTACTTTAACCTGGGCCTCCGCACACCCAGCCGGACGGGGGGAACACATGTTTCCTGCAAGCTCAACGCCCTGCCCTCCTCCTCCTCCTCTGAGCAAACACCTGCCCTTTCTCTCCCCGCCAGCGCTGGGCTCTGGGCGGGGCCCGGTAAACACGGGGCCTCCGCAAGGCTCTGAGCGAAACCCGAAACGCGCCACCCTCTGCAGGACGCGGCTTCTGCCTGCGAATCAGAACAAACCCAGCCCCGGGGACAGACTGTGTAGGAAAATATACCTGTAACGTCCTAACCATTTTCATCCATTCGTTTTATTGTGACATTTATTACAGGAACTTCCGCGTCGGCTTTCTTTCTGCACAGACACAGACGCGCCCACCCCTCGCCACGCCCCTGCCCTGCTGCCCGGCGGCCCCGCGGCGCGGTGGGCGGGCGGGCACGCATGGTTACCCCTGGGAACGAGTCCGGGCACGGCCGAGACGTCACAGCCAGTGACCCCGGCCGGGCGATTTTCCTTTCTAGCTGTTTTTCCTTGCTAGGCTTTGCCTGCCGCAGCGTGTCAGATCTTGTCCGTGGGATGCCGCCGCCCAAAACCGATCAAAAGCCGCTTGCCGCCCGGATTCCTTCGTGCCCTTCCCCCTCTACAGCGGGGCGGGGGAGGGGCAGTCTCACGAGGCGTGGGTCTGCGGGCTCCCTGCCAGGGCGGGCGGCAGGCGGCACCCAGGAGAAGCGTGGCCCCGCAGGGTCGGGTCCCAGGAGGGGCTAGTGGCAGCCGCAGGCCCGGACCACCATGTTCCTGTACTTCTTCAGGATGACGTTGGAGCTGTCGTCGAAGTAGAGGACAGAGATGGCGTTGAGCTGCGTGGGGGCACAGCAGGGCTTGGGCACCGTCTCCGGGTTGATGAAGTGGACCTGGAACACACACGGGGACGCTGACGGTGGTGACAGGCGCGCGGCCCTGCCGGCGGCCTCCGGGTTTGCACAGGGAACGTGCACTGCCTGGGGGGCCGCAGGGGGCCTGTGCCAGGCCAGCCCTGGGCTGAGCACGTGACGTGCACAGCTCGGTTCTAGCCTGTCCCTGTTTCACAGACGAGGGAACCGAAGTAGACTCTTCCCAGCACACAGCCGGGCGGGAGGTGGCCAGACCGGACATTTGGGGCCTGATCATTCCTTGCTGTGGTCCCTCAGATGCTAAACAAAGGGACAAAATCCCTAATTCTCATCGCCACCATTGCTGGTAACAGAGTACTGACCACACGATGCCGTGCTGGGCACCGTAACCTCATCGCCACACCGCCTCTCCCCCGTGACCCCACAGTTAACTTGAAATAGCCCCCCGGGCCCCCCAGCTCCCCCATCTCCACCCCGCCAGCCTGCTGGCCTCTTCTCAGCCTCCCCCTGCTCTGAAACTTCTCCTCCGTTTACCCAACTGTCTCGTTCACTGGAAAACGAAGCCCTGAGGCCAAGGACACATCTGTGCTGTCCCTGCAGTGTCCCCGGCTCCCCGTGTGGACGCTCGGTCAGCACAGTGAACACCGTGAATGACTGAGCCAGGGCGTCCGAGGCCAGGAGGGAAGACGGGAGCTCTGCAAGGGCCACCGGACAGGCTCGCAAGCCCACTTGTCCCAGGGGACAGGTGGCACTGGGGCCGCAGGGGGGACAGGCCTGAAGATGACTCTCTGACTCACCCCGACAGCCCAGGACAACAGCCCCCAGGGGAGGCCGGGCCAGGGCCCCTGCCTTGGTAGGTACGGTGACCCGCACCCATGAATCTGTTTCCATTGCTTTTAAAATTAGAAGCAATAAATGAGGCAACTTCAGAGTCGACGACTGTATTTATACCAATGCAGTCGTAAAATGTAATTCCTGATTATTTTCCTTTTCAATGGAGCAAAGGGCCCACAAAAGTCACGATGTCACCTTGGGCCAAGATCCACTCAGGCCAGCCTGGAGGGTCTGGCGGCCCCTCAGCCCGCCCCGCCTGGCTGCCCACCCCCGCGGCCGCGCCACCCACCAGCGTCTGCACGATGGCGTGGTTGGTGGCGTTCATGTAGGAGTTCAGCGGGAAGGCGCACTCGCCCTCGCAGTAGTAGGCGGCGTAGCCCTCGGGCGCGATGATCCAGTCCTGCGGGAGGGAGGAGATAGTGGGCAGCGGCCCGGGAGCGCCCACGGCCTCGCGGAAAGCCCGGGCCGCTGCCCAACGCCACCACGCTGGGCCGTGTCCCAAGGCCGAGGCTGGGACCGTGCCCTCCTGAGCAGCAGCGGTGAGCAGGGACGGCAGAAGGAAAAGGAGGGAAAGATGCCACGCCGGGGCTGGGCCGAGCCCAGAACGGACACGTCGCGTGGCATCTCCTGGACGGAGGGTGGCTCAGGCGTGCCTGCGGCTGGCCCTGGTATCAGCCACGCCCCACGAGGTGGCAACGTGCTGGCAGTTTGCCTTTAGCAGGCCCTCCATGCCTCGGTGCACCCACCTGCCGGAGAGGCTGTGACCCACAGCAGCGTGGGGCGAGGGCTCAGCGCGGTGCAGGCCGCCTGGCACGGCGCGTGCGGCTCAGGAAGGCACCGCGTGACAGCACGCCCCCGCTCCGGCAGAGGTGCTCAAGCCATCGACACTCCTCAGTGACTCTGAAGTGCTCGGAATCTTCCGCAGGGGCCCTGGGGTTTGGGCTCTGTCCCAGCACCGAATGCCAGCCCCACCCAGCGCCCCTTCGAGGGTAGGGTGGCCGTCGGACCAAGGACAGGCTCCCAGGAGGGCTCCGAGCTGGCTGAGGGCACGAGAGCCCTGAGCGTACCGGGGCATGATGCCCAGGGGAGAATCTGGACTTCCCGCTGGACCGCAAGCTCCCCTCTTGCCCCGATGACCTCAGGACAACGCCCTGCCCGGGGCTGCGTGGGCTCCGCGGGGCAGCCACACTGTGACATCCGCGCTGCCTGTGCAGGGCCCAGAGCAGGGCCCGGACGCCGCAGAGGCTCCGGGACCGCTGCCGGGATTGAGAACCGCTCCAGCGCCGCAGCAGATGGGCCGTGGAGCGCACGGCCCTCGCTGCTCACCCAGGGCCTGTCCCCTGCCTGCCCTCGGCCTCACTTCAGCCAAGCGGCTCTCGTCCCCAAAGCAGGGCCCGCCCCGACACAGCCGGCTGGTGCAGGAGCAAGCACCTGACCCACGCTGGGCCCCCCGGGCCCTTCCCCGGGAATCCGAATGGGGACGGACGGGGCGGAGGGGGAGACGGCTCCCCAGGCAGCTGGGATCTGACTCACGCGGCCACGTCGGAGAAGCGGCCAGGACAGGGCCCAGGCTCGAGTCCAAAGTGCTGGGTTCCTGGTTCTAGTTTGAGTCTCGGCCACTTTTCTGCTCTTGGCTGTCACGAGACCTCCCCAGTCCTTAACCCGAGCCCCTGACCCCTGGAGCCTTGACTGGCAGAGATGAGCATGTGGGGAGCACGCACCTGCTGTCGCGGGCCACACTGGAGGCCCCAGCACCCAGGACGACCCGGCGGCTCTTACCTGCCAGCCCAGGTCGCGGAAGCTGACGTACAGCTCGTGCTTCTTGCAGGCCTGCCTCTGGTCGCTGCTGCTGTTCTCTGCGGTGGTGAGGGAGTCAGGCAGCAGAGCGCGGGAGGAAAAAGAAACACACGCGTGAAGTCCCTCGGTCTAAGGCAGTGGCATGAGTGACAGCCCCGTGCACACGGCCGAGGGCGAGTCTGCCGCACGAAAGCCGGTTCAAGGACCCGCAGTCTCAAAACTCACTGCTACCCCCAGCAAAGGGTCCCAGGAAGAGGGGGAGCAATGCCCCGTCCCTCTCTCAGTCTTAGCCCACTGCACTTTCTGGATCCTTCTGTGGACACTGGTGTCTTTTATACGCAAGTGTTGGCATGGCGACATCTGCCTGATGCCACAGGGGACCAGGCCCGGCCACACCCCACGGTGACAGGTGCGGGAGCCCTGCTCGGACGGAGCGACCTGCTTCTGAACAACCTCGCCCTGCGGGGCCGGCCCCTGCGGGGGGGGGGGCGCAGACGGGGCCCGGGACAACCCCCCATCCCTCCGCCATCACCACCAGGAGGGAACAGAGGGCAGAAAGTCAAATCCCACTGACCTTCCAGAAAAACAAGCTCCTGAGGTTTCTTTGAAGAGAGAAAACTATGCACTGGGGCTTTCCAGAAGTATGTGAGTTTGTAAGCATCTGGGTCAGGGGCCGAGCGCTTGTAAACACTGGAGAAATCTGTCTGTCTGTCTGTCTCACCCACAGGCTGCACGCCTGCCCTCCACTGCGCAGCTACAGGGACCGTTTCCTCCTGCCCATGACCTGTCTTCCCTCCACCCAGCACCCGCCAGGGCTCCCTGTCAGCCTCAGAGTGGCGCCCCGCGTGGCTCTGACTCCCCACGGCCAACTGCCCAGCCCTGGGCAGGCCAGCCTTTGTTCCACCCCGCCACGCCCGCCTCAGGGCCTTTGCACTTGCTGCTTCCCCACCTTTGCTGTGTCCGGCTCCACTGTGACCTTCACGTCCCCAAAGGGGCCTTGTGGAGTCACCGCTGGGTCCCCAGAGCCTCGTGCCCACCCATCCTTGTGCAGCGAGCACACAGGCACATGAGCAGAGGTGGGGTCAGTGCCGTGGCCTCTGTCCACTGCTCTAACGTCCTCAAGCCCTCGGAGTCCCAGGAGGCAATGCAGACCAGGGGACGAGGTGGGAGGGGGAGGGGAGAGGAACGTCCCGGAAGCTGACCTGGGCCTTGCCCTGCTCAGGTGACCTGCGCTGGGAAACTCCTGGGAGCCTCCCGTGCCATCACTTACTCACACGGGGCTGAGGGCGGCCCTCCTGGTGGCTCATTCATTCATTCATTCAGCCAAATCGCACAGGTGCCTCCTGGGGTGCAGACAGGGTTTCAGGCACTTGCAGGAGTGGACAAAGCCCTGCCATTCGGGGACTTCTCTTCAAGGACGAGTAGTCGATGACAGACAGACCAGCTGGTGCACCTAACTCCAAGCCAGCGGGGCAGCCAGGGCGGGCGTGCTGCCGGTGCCGGCAGAGGGCTCTTGGGAGGAAGCGGGGGAGCAGCCAGAGCGGCCCCCAGGGGGGGTGTTCCTGCATGGGGACGCTGGGGGTGCCCTCCATGACCGAGGAAGTCAGAGTAGCGCGGGGCACCGAAGCCATCAGGGGAGGAGGAAGCTCGGGCCTGGGTCACCGGCTGCAGTGTGGGGTGGGACGGTCTACTTTGTTGGAACAAGCCCCCAGGCTCGACGCAGCTGCGGGGCAGCGGGGTCCTCCCCAGGGCCAGGTTGTCCCTAATGCGCAAAGCTCAAGGTCAAGGAACCATCAGAGAAGAGCCCGAGCGGCTCCACTACTCAGTGCCCTCTGGGACACGCAGACGTCAGGCGGAAATCTAAGACAGCGTCCAGGGCTGCGGCGACGCCCACGGCTGCAGGTGGCGACGCCCATGAACCTTCTCCCGCTTCCCGATGGGGAGGCAGAGGTAGGGGCGAGGGATGTCGGGCCAGGGACAGTGCCGGCTGCTGCTAGCGTCCTGAGTAAAGGAGGGTCCTGAAGCTACGTGCAGGCTCAGTGAGAAGAAAGAGCCATGATTGATTAGCAATGTCTGCCCTGAGCAGAGCAGGGGCAAGGAGTGGCCTGAGTGCCACTTTCACCAGCCCTGTCTTAAAGCAAAGCGAGGATAATTGGCTTCATGTTCAAACCCAGGGCCCAACAGGCCACGGCTGAGCATAGCCCATGAAGCCAGTTCTGGCATGTGGGTGGGAGTGGGCATGGGCCCTGCCATCAGGGCCCCCGACACCTGCACTGCCCTTCTAGGCCTCTCTGGATCATGGCCCCCAACACCTGCACTGCCCTTCTAGGCCTCTCTGGATCATGGCCCCCAACACCTGCACTGCCCTTCTAGGCCTCTCTGGATCACGGCCCCTGACACCTAAACTGCCCTTCTAGGCCTCTCTGGATCACGGCCCCCGACACCTGCACTGCCCTTCTAGAACTCTCTGGATCACGGCCCCCGACACCTAAACTGCCCTTCTAGGTCTCTCTGGATCACGGCCCCCGACACCTGCACTGCCCTTCTAGGCCTCTCTGGATCACAGTCCCCGACACCTGCACTGCCCTTCTTGGCCTCTCTGGATCACGGCCCCCGACACTGCACTGCCCTTCTAGAACTCTCTGGATCACGGCCCCCGACACCTGCACTGCCCTTCTAGGCCTCTCTGGATCACGGCCCCCGACACCTGCACTGCCCTTCTAGAACTCTCTGGATCACGGCCCCCGACACCTGCACTGCCCTTCTAGGCCTCTCTGGATCACAGTCCCCGACACCTGCACTGCCCTTCTTGGCCTCTCTGGATCACGGCCCCCGACACTGCACTGCCCTTCTAGAACTCTCTGGATCACGGCCCCCGACACCTGCACGGCCCTTCTAGGCCTCTCTGGATCACGGCCCCCGACACCTGCACTGCCCTTCTAGGCCTCTCTGGATCACGGCCCCCGACACCTGCACTGCCCTTCTAGGCCTCTCTGGATCATGGCCATCCCAGGAGAAAGTAGCTGGAACTCCTGGAAATCACCATGACCTCTTCCTATTAGCAGGAAAGCAAAGGAAGGAAGCAAAGGAGAGACCCCAGCCCCCTGCCCCTCCACTCCTCCCCCACCGGCCCTAGGAAGCAGAAAGCAAGCACGCAGGAGACGGCGCCCGGTGCCAGGGCTGCGGCTTTAGGTGCCACCACAGCTCCCGGCCTGAAACGCCCGCAAGTCAGGACTGGTGCTCAGACTCGGCCCCGCCCCCGGGGGCCATCTGGAGAAGGTGGCTGCTAACCAGGGAGCCGGGTCCAAACATGGGTGGGAGGAGGAAGCGGAGGGAGGCGAGGGCGCCGTTTCCCAACCCCAGGCCGCACCATCTGAAGCGCAGTGGAAGCCCTGGGGGAGGGTGGCCTGCTGGAAAGAGCTCCGAGGTGGGGCGGCATGCCGGAGCACGTGACCCGCCCCAGCACACGAGGGCTGCCCGAGGGAGAGGACTCAACTTGTGTGGCCCTGGGCAGGGCTCCCGGCCCGTCACGCGCGGGCAGGGCATTTCAGATGGGCGCGAACACACTCGCACACACACTCACACACTCAGGGATTCTCGCTTGCTAAGACTAGGGTGGGGCCTACGCCTCGGTATTTTTTTTATTAAACTTCTGGGCAGGGTTTAGAAGAACTTAAAACGGGGCCAGGGAGAAGAAATCGACAGGACGGAGGCAAAACCCAAGCAAAGCTGCCACGTGAGGTAGTGAGAGCCCCATCCTGGGGGTCATGTAAGTGGAGACTTGATGGGGGGAATCAGGTGTTGAATTTTAAGACTTCGAGGTCTATTCCTCCCCCCTGGTTATGGAGGTATGCCTGGCAGAGCTCCAAGGCACAGGAGTCTTTGCTGGGGTGCAACCTGCCAGCACTTCCTGGCTGGCTGATTTGCAAAAGCCTCTAACCCGGGGGCTCTGAGCCCCACTCTCCAGCACCCCACCCTGCTCTCGCCTTGCTCAGAGCGGCCAGAATGAGGCTGTCACCTACACCCCACACCGTAGCTTGAAACTCCTCGAAGACTTCCACATTTGCTTGGGATGAAGTTCAAACCCAAGATGTGGCTCCCAAGAGAATGCCTGTCCCTGCTCCCCGGCCCCAGCCACCACGGGCTCCTCCCCCTCCCCAAAGCTGCCCGAAACCGTCCAGCCCGGGCCTTGCCCCAACAGGGCCCAGTGCCCGGAGCATTGCGTCCAGACCGCCGGCCTCAGGCGCGCCTACTCGGTCCAGCCCAGAGCGCTGAGCTCGCTGCCCGCGGGAAGTCAGTCTGGTCTGCACCCTGGCCACCGTCCCCCACCCCAGCCTGGATGTGGATGACAGCCACCTCCTGCCTGTCCCGAATTAGCTCCCCGAGGGCAGCCTGGGTCCGGGCGTTCGCTATGGAACCCCAGCCCCCAAAAGCCCGGCATGGGGGAGACTCCCACACATGAACAAAGGGATCCAGCTGGGTTGTGATTTGGGGGCTCACAGACCCCTTTGCGAAGGCTAATCTACAGAGATGACTGCTGAGTTCCAGGCCTGAATCTCTCCTCTGGGCAACGCATTAGCTTCACTTCTGTTAATCTTTGAGTTGCTTGCAATGAAAATGTTACCTTGATTTTTAATTTTTTCAACTTACAGTAAAGAAACATTTCAAACAAACCTAAAAGTATCCCAAATAATATATTTTTTGAAAAAACACTTACCACTTATATTTAAGAAGTATTAAAATTTCCCATGAGCTTCAAATATTTTTTATCTTAGGAAATAAAATTAAAAATAGAGCAAACTCTCCCCCTCCCTGTTTCTTCTCCCCTTAGTTCTTCCCATGCAGGTTTTCAGAGTTTTCCTTCATATGCCCACACGAGACTGTAAGTGTAGCCATTGTTTTGTCTGTTTAGAAATTTATACAACTGGCATCTTGTTATATTTTGCTACTTGCATTTTTCTGCTTTCCTAGAGCCAGGGTCTCCCCGTCATCCAGGCTGCCGAGCAGTGGCATCATTACAGCTCACTGTAACCTCAAACTCCTGGGCTCAAGCAATCCTCTCGCCTCAGCCTCCCGAGTAGCTGAGACTACAGGCACGTGCCACCACACCTGCTATAAAAAATGTTTTCAATTTTTACAGAGATGGGGTCTCACTATGTTGCCCAGGCTGGTGCTGAACTCCTGGCCTCAAACGATCCTCTCACCTCAGGATCCCAAAGTGCTGGGATTACAGGCGTGAGCCACCGCGCCTGGCCACCACTTGCATTTCTAAACTAATTTGCAACCTGCACGGAATTAAGAGAGCGAGCCCTGCGTAGGAGGGATTTGGGGGGATTTGCTTCCGGCCGTGTTTCTCCAGAGCCACCTGCGGATTCCCAGCGGGGCCCCGCTGGGTCCCGGGTCTGCGTGCTGCCCCCGGCCCTGGGCCTACCTGCCACGTTGGCCATCCGCAGGGCTTCCTGGTTCTTGGGCGTCTTGGAGCGATTCTGGCTGCGCTGCTTGCTCCCCGCGGACCGGACGCTGCGGAAGTGGACCTCCGTGGCCTTGAAGAAAGCCACCATGAAGGGCTGCTTGTTCTGGGGCCCGTGCCGCCCGATCAGGCCCGCCAGCTTGGGGTTGATGCTCTGCCCTGGACGGGAAGCAGCCGGAGGCACAGAAGGGCGGTTACGAGAGGGGCGGGGCGCGGTGGGGCCGCACGGCTCACGCACACGCCCGTCACCCCTCACCACGGGCGCTCACTCCGGCCAGGCGCGAACAAAGCTGCGAGGACTCCCTGTGGGCCAGGCTTCCCCGCTGTGGGGAGGGCGGCGGGGAACACACGCCGCCCGGACCCCACGGTGAGAGGTCAGTGGAGAAAAAGGGAGCAAGGGCGGCCGGTGCGGGGCTGCGGGCTGCAGGCCCCAGGCTGGCGAACCCTGCGAGTGCGGCTCACATTTCACCAGCCAAAGCAGGTCACGTGGCCACCTAACGTCCGGGCGTAAGGGACAGTCTCGCCCTGTGCCAAGGAGGGTGGGAACAGGTGCTGACGGCCCTCAGGAAGACAGAGGCCAGTGAGGGCCGGAGATTGCCGGGAGCCCGACGCTGGAAGAGGCGGGAGGGACCCTTCCCTAGGGCGCTCAGAAGGGCACGGCCCTGCGACACCTTCATTTCGGGCTCCTGGCCTCCAGACTGGGAGAGGACGAAGCCCTTGGTTTAAGCCACCCAGTGTGTGGCTCCTCTACAGCAGCCCCGGGTCGGTACCCCACCACTGGGGTGGGGTCTGGCTGGTTCTAGACCAGCCCGGGCGGCCGCTGGAGACTGGACGGCAGAGGTCAAACGGAAGCAGGGTGACCGGGTGGAGGTCTGGGCCAGTCCAGGGGAGAGGCCAGGTGAGCCGGGACCCAGGGCAGCCAGGGTAGATGCTGGTGGGAAATGGGCAGGCCCTCGATTGTTAGTTTTTTTTTTTCAGTCCATCTTTAGAACTTATCTTGGTTTTAACGTTTTGTTTTGAAGTGATTGCAGATTCACAGGCAGCTGAGAAACGACACACAGGAAGGCCCATGTACCCTCTGCCCAGCCCCGCCCAATGGCAGCGCCTCCCATAACCAGAACACAACATCCAAGCCAGGAAAAGGACAGAGTCTAGATACATTCTGAAAGAAAATCCGATTGGATTTGCCAAGATTATAAAAGATGTGAAAAAGAGAGTCATCTCATAAGACTTTGCACGCTCTTGGCCTAAGCCCCCGGGAGAAGGGAGGGCCCCTTACCAAGACAGGGAAACTGAGGCAGGGGTGGAGGGTGGAGGAGGAAACGCGGTTTGGTTGAGCAGATGCTGCCGGACATCGATACGTGACGCCAGGGGTGGGAGCTGCTGGCAGGGCTGCAGACCACCGGCCCGGGCTTGAGGGATGGGAAGAGATGAGCTCTGGCCTGCTGAGGGGAGAGGTGGCGCCCAGGCCAGCCGTCCTGGGTTCCAGGTGCCGCCTCTGTCACCAGGTGCAGAGATGCAGCTCAGAGCAGGGCCCTGCACGCCGTGAGTGCTGGGAGAACGCCAGCACAGGCACCTGGGCGTCCCCAACACAGAGGTGGGGCTTAAAGCCGGGAGATGGGGCGAGCTCGCCGGGCAGAGCGCGTAGCTGGACAAGTGACGCGAAGGCCGAGCCCGGGTGGCCTCTCTTTTCCACCGAGAGGTCAGCGGAACGCGGCAGGGAGTGCTCAGCAGGGCGGAGAAGGAAGGATCTGGAAGAAGCTGGGACGGGAGTCGGGGGACACCAAGAGGATATGGGGGCCCAGAAACCGAGGGAAGGCAGTGGAGGGAGAGCCCCCGTGCCCTGTGCTCTGCCCGCGGGTCCGAGGTGTGGGCTCGACCAGGCTGACCGCCTGGTGGCTCTGACCACGGTGAGGTCGCTGGCAAACACACATGCAGCTACATGTCTGGTGGCAGCGAGTTTCCCCAAAGGAAAAAGAAAAGTGTCAGATAGTCACGAAGCCTACTTACTCCTGGCAGAACAAGCTCAGAGAGGCTGAGGAGTCTGCCTAAGGACACCCAGCAAGGGAGCAACCAAGCAGAATTTGAAGCCAGATCTGGCTGGCTCCAGAGTCAGGACGCCTGGTCACTGCAGGTCCGATGCCCCCACATTAGGTGAGAGGGGTCAGAGGCCAGCGAAGCCGAGGGCTTCTGGAAGGTCCCGGGTGCGTCCACATCTGGAATTAACTTCCCCTGGAGTCCCCCAGACGGGCCAGAAGCCGAGAAACCCAGCCTCCAGACCAGATCGGCACCGGGAGGTTCGCTTTGTTTTTTTTTTAACGACTAATGTTTAAGAGAACAAATTTCCCCATCCACCACTATTTTACCTTCACCCCTTTTAATGTTCAGCTTCCCTGCATTCCTGAGCGGGGTTTCCTCGAGTTCACCCATCTATAATTTGAACGATTCTATAAAATAAACCATTAAAGCTGAGCCCCTAGGAATTGTGTTCCCCCCTGGAAGGGTTTTAGGGCAAAATAAAAATGTCTGGCCTGAAAACCTGATGCTATTCCAGATACCTTAGATCCGAGCGCTGCGAACAGCCTCTCTGCCCCTTGGAGCAAGGGCGTCCGGCCTGCTCCTGCGCCCGTCGGGACGGCCGCGCCCAGGGACCCCCAGCCTCAGCTGAGACACGGCGGGACGGAGGGGAGAGAACAGGGTCTCAGGGGTGTCCAAACGCACACACCTGCCACTGACCAGCCTGTGTGGGCCGGGAGGGGAAGTTGCACACTGAGGCCTCGACTTCATCTGTAAAATGGGGATGATGCCACCGGCGTCAACCACCCACCCTTTTCTTGGGGACCAGCCCCATTTAGGCAGCTGTCCTCAAGCAGCCTGCGCCCTGGCCTTGGCCGTGGGGCCTGTGATGTAGTAAAAGGCGACTAATCCTCTGGCTACAGTGATTGATTCAGAGATTAGCACATGACCAAATCCAGCCAACGAAGGGAGCCAATATGGCAGCAGGGTCCCACTCTAGGTCCAGAGCAACCTCCTCTCTCTCTCTCTCTCTCTCTCTCTCTCTCTCTCTCTCTCTCTCTCTCTCTCTCGGACTGAGGGAGGAAGGATGGATGGAGGCCCAGAAATGGCCACCATCTGGCAACTAGGAGGAGACTGCATTTCCAAATGAGGCTGCCCTGGCAGGAGGGACTGGGTCTCTCAGGACCCCGCCAAGTCACTGGATCAATCCCGTCCTGAAGCTCACATTCTCACCCCAACCACCAAGATGTACGACCCCCTGGATGGTTTAGTCCCAGCTGGTATTTAGGGTGGTTCGTGCCCCGTTCTTACAGACTTGAGGAGAGGGAACACGGCACAGGCCATCCTGGGCCTGGCATGGAACAGGCGCCCCCAGGGCAGTTTCGGATTCTTCCCTTCTTCCCCCAAGTCTGCGAAAAGACTCAGGTTGTCAACCTAAAGGCTGACACACACCACAACGGACTTTTCTTCTCCTTCAACAAGAAACAGGGATACAGAAGATAGGCCGGCAATATCTCACGGAAGATAACAAACAGTTATCACGTGACCCAACAATCCCACTCCCAGGCATGTACACACGAAACGAAAACACAGGTGCACACAAAACACAGGTGCACACGAGTGTTTGCAGCAGCGGCATTTATAACAGCCCAAGTGGAAACAACCCAACTGTCTATCAACTAATGAACAGATAAAGAGATATGGTGAATCCCCGCAACGGAGTATCATTTGCCTTAAAAAAGAAGGAAGCGCTGACACACGCCACACCATGGACAAGCCTCAAAAACATGACGCTCCACGAAAGAAGCCAAACACAAAGTCACGTGCTGAATGATCCCATTTATATGAAAGGTCTAGAATAGGTAAATCCACAGAAACCAAAAGTAGGGAGGGAGACAAGATATAGGTAATATTTTAACCATAAAATCTACATCTTTGGGAGAGTTGGAAAAAAAGTTCTATTTTAGCTGATGGTTAACAGTTTAAAAAAGAAAAAGCCTGCAGATTTGCCCATGAATAGCAGGGTTTGCAAATAAAGTAGTAGGATGCCTAGTTCAATCTGAGCTTCAGATAGATGGACAATGTTTGCAGTATGTGGGACACACTTAAGCTAGGCAATTATTTGTTGTTTATCTGAAATTCTAATTTAGCTGGGCAGCTTGTGTTTTATCTGCTAAAAGATTCTCCTTAAAGGTGGGACAGAAAAGATTTTCCCGAAGGGTCATTATAAGTGAGCCCTCTGCAGGCTGCAGGGGACCAGGTGAGGAGGCATCTGGCCCACCTGCTGGCCAGGTGGAGCAGCCCAGGGCCAAAGGCTTCACTGGACTCCTGGCTTGCCTGCCAGGGAGGTCTTTTGTTTTTGTTCTGTTGCTTTTTAAGTGCTAGTTTTTAAATTCCCATAGAGTAACACTGAGCCTTTTGTGGTTTGCAAATTTGTCATTGTCAGCACATGGACAGATTTGTGTACCTGCCATTCCCATGGGAATGGGACACAGAGCAGTCGCAGCCCCGCGGAGAACTCCCCTGAGCTGCCTTTATCTCAGCGCTGCTCAGCCAGGGCGGCTGCCACTCCCCAGGGCACAGGTGGCAATGTCTGCAGACATCTCTGGCTGTCACAGCTGGGCAGCTGCTACCGGTATTGAGTGGCTATAGGCCAGGGAAGCTGCCAAACACCCCACAACACACAGGACGACCCCACGACTGAGAGTTCCCCAGAGCGACACACCCACAGCGCCAAGGCGGAGAAAGTAGGCTTCGTACGCACCCCACCCCAGCCCCGGTCTCTGGGAAATACTGACCTGTTCACACCCAGTAACTTTGCAGTTTTTAGACATTTTATATAATGGATTCCTACAGTCTGTTGCATCTGCTCGTTCCAATCTGCAGAATGCCTGAGATTCATCCATGTCGCTGTGCATTGCAACAGTCCATTCCTGTTGGTTGTATGTAAGCACCACGGTTTGTTCTTCCTCTCACCCGGCTGCTTCTGGCCTGGGTGGTCACGAACACGGCAGGAGACATCCACGTACAGGGTTCTGTGTGGACCCACCTTTGCAATTTGCCAATGCAGAGAAGACGTGAGGTCCTCACGCTGCCTGTTTCCCTCGGCCCTTTGCACGCTGCAGGTGTCATCTGCTCACAAA